TTAATATACAGATAGTAAGCTGAGTTAGACTTGAAGATGGTTGCCTTTTTTTTTTTAAACAAAGTAGTAAGTTACTACATTCCATGGACCTTCAGAGTGAAGCATGTAGTATAAACTAGGAGTATTTAGAAACATGTAACCAAGATTCGTGTGCATATTGAGAAGCACTACTATAAAGTGTTTCTCCCACTTTTTAGCATTAGGTTTTCCTATTAAAGCCAAGCAACATACAGAGAGATGTAGTAATAAGTCATATTATCCATGGATATTACAGTCTACTCTTGAGTGTTAGAATACTTTTTTAAAAAAGTAATCTGGCTCAGTGCCTGTGGCTCAAGCGGCTAAGGCGCCAGCCACATACACCTAAGGTGGCAGGTTCGAATCCAGCCCGGGCCCACCAAACAACAATGATGGCTACAACCAAAAAATAGCCGGGCGTTGTGGTGGACACCTGTGGTCCCAGCTACTTGGTGGGAGGCTGAGGCAGGAGACTCACTTGAGCCCAGGAATTGGAGGTTGCTGTGAGCTGTGATGCCACAGCACTCTACCCAGAGGGACAGCTTGAGTCTCCGTCTCAAAAAAAAAAGTAATCTGAGAAAAAATACTCAACAAAAGTATTAAGTAGACCTCTTTATGGACTAGAAATAAGTAAAGTTAATGCTATGATTTAATTGTCCTCATTTTAGACTTTTCCCAGCTACTCATCATATCCCTTTGATTCTTTGCCTGCTGCAACTAACTAGTCACCTTCCATTATCATCTTATGTAGTGAGATTTCCAGAACCTTCCCTTCTGAAACAGGCTCTTAACTAGCTGCCCGGTGTTGTCTGGCCTCTTGTTTCCCAACTCAAGCAGACCTCAAATCCATTTATTTTCATTTTTATTTGTTCATTAGTAGTTGAAAACCTAGGAAGTGAAGCCTTAAGTTATCTTGATTCTAATTCATTAGCCTCCAGACATTGCTATCAGAATAGTCTTCAGGTAGATTGTTTAAAAAGATTATCGAAAAGTTATGTTTTGGCTCGACACCTGTGGCTTAAGTGGCTAAGGCGCCGGCCACATACACCTAAGATGGTGAGTTCGAATCCAGCCCGGGCCCACCAAACAACAATGACGGCTGCAACCAAAAAATAGCCTGGCATTGTGGCGGGCGCCTATAGTCCCAGTTACTTGGGAGACTGAGGCAGTAGACTTGCTTGAGCCCAGGAGTTGGAGGTTGCTATAAGCTGTGATGCCACGGCACTCTACCCAGGGGGACAGCTTGAGGCTCTGTCTCAAAAAAAAAAAAAAAAAGTTATGTCTTGACTAAGGTTCAGGTATCTATTTTTAAAGTATATCTGTATTTGATAGATTATCTATCATTCCAAATTCCAGGGTAGGAAATAATGAAATGTAAAAGCTAATCAGATTTCTTTATTTTTGGTTGTCTAAGTTATGTTTTTCTTCTTCCTGTGTTTTTCCCAATACAGTCTGCCCTCCTGATCCACAAGTTTGGCATCTACAGAAAGTCTTGGGATGCAGGACCCACTAATAAAAAGGGCCAATGACTATAGCACTTGAGCATACACAGATTTTTATTATCTTATAGAGTTCTGGAACCAGTCCCCCACAGATATCAAGGGAGGACTCTACCTTTTATCTTTTTGACTTTTGATATTTAATAGTGAAGGTTTCTAAAAGAATGAACATCTTTAAAAAATTAATGAAAACTTATAAAATCTTACTATTTTGAGTAGTAAAATTATAAGGTGTTTGCCCTTATTGTCATGAGTGAATGTGAAAGATACATTTGTAAACAGCATTTAAGGGTGGTGCACTGTTGTATGATGAACTCTGGCTTAAGAGTCTGAGTGATAATCCACATCCCTTTTAGACCATAGTGACTTCATCTGTGAAATTATAGTATTATCTACACTTCCTAAATATATTCCTATCAAGCAGTGGTTAAGAAGTGGTAAATTATAGTGGGGACCAAACAATGAAATGAAAGGACCTGTAGCCCTTTAATGCATTTTTTTGCAGAACATACCTGCTTTTAGCCTGCCACCAACAGAAGTATGAATATGGGTAACTTGTTTACTTTTAACTAATTTTGGAATAACTTATGACTTAATGGGAAAATGGCAAAACTAGTTAAAAAAAATCAAGGATCTCCTTCACCGGATTTGTCAGGTGTTTTTTACCACATTGGCCTTAACCTTTCTCTCTTCTTTTTGCCACTCCACCCAACTACAGTTATTTTTTTTCCTCATAAATTTTGAAGTGAAGTTACAGGCATGATGTCCCTTATTCATAAATACATCATTGTATGTTTTTTGGAAAGTCAGGAATTTCATATAACCACAATTATCAAAATCAGAGAATTAACACTGATATACTAGCAAGTCAGCCAGCTCTATTCGGTCGTTGTCAATTGTTTCACTGATGTCCTTTATAAGAAAGGGAGAGAGATGGATTGATTTGAGGCCCATTTGAGAACTACGTATTACATTCGTTTGTCATAGCTCTATTTTTTTATTCTTGAACTGGTTGTCAATATTTTTGACTTTGACATTTTTGAAGAGTATAGGCCTTTTTCATAAAATGTCTCTTAATCTTCAAAGAGGTTTTGGATGACCTGCTTCAGTGTTGAGACAAATTTAAAATCTATATTACATACTGGCTTTTATTTTGCTTATTTACTTTGTGTAGAAAGGTATCCTGTCCTGGATGACATTAATTATTCGGTTGGATAATTAGGAACTTCGTTTTAGTTCCGAGAACTAAAAGTCTTCAGTAATTTTTAAAACTCAAAGCAGTTCAGTATTATTTGATGATTGTTACACTGATGGTACACCAGTTTAGCATTGGGAGCTGCTAGAATAAAAGCAAAGAATATCTAGATGGAAGAAACTCCCGCTAAATATTGGAAGGTACCAAATAAAACGGGCTTGGTCATTTCCTAGGGTAAGTATGTATATTGAATTTGGTGTTGAAAATCTTTATACCTATTAAGGATAAGAGTAGGCCTTATGTTTGAGGTAGTGATAAGCAGTGGCATAGAAATTATAATGAATAAGGGAGAGAAGATCAGCACTTAAGATGATACTACTAGGAAATCTGTGTGAGAAGTCAGTTTGAAATAATGACTTAAAAACTAGGTTCAAGGTTTTGGAGGATGCGCTCTAACAGATGCAGTATAGGTTTTTATCATAAAGTGGCACCATCAAATGGCTTTTGAAAGGAAAAATATAATTGGTGATGTATAAAAACTGATTGGAATGATAAGCAAAACTCTTACCCCACAAAAAGGACATGGATATTAGAGAAAAACACTGTGGCAATGTGGGACACAGTACTGCCCAATTGTAGTAGTTGTAGAAATCATCTGAATTGTATTGTTAAGGGATCAAATAGGCTAGTGAGCATTTACTGTTATGAACAGTTTATGCAACTTATATTAAAAAAATGGGGAGTGGAAGATTTGGTAGTAATGAGATATAATTGAAACACTGAACTCTTCGACATTTTGAACATTGTGCATGGGTGCTGAGATAGTTATGTGGAACTGGAACAAATAAGCATTTGCTTTTAGTGATTTTGGTGTATAAGATGGCATTTTAAATTACACTTTTTTACAAGATCTTTCCGGACTAAGCCATAGGCAGTTGATGCTACATAAAATGTGCCCTCTAGTTGTCATTCTGTAAATATTTGTATGTGCCCACTTACTGTCTGCTAGGTGTTATTATAGATGCTGGATATCTAATGCATGTAATTAAACGTAATATAGGGTGTCCGTAAAGTTTGTGTGTGATTTAAAGTAGTTTTAAATTCTAAATTGCACCTGAATTTTATGGACACTCTGTATTATGACACACTGGAGAAGGAGTTGGAGATTCAAATAAATAAATGTATAGTATGATGGATATAATGCAGAAAAATTAAGGTAGGGCAGTAGGGACAGAGAATAAAAGAGGAATGCCCTAACCCGGTTTTCCCTCTAGGATTTTAACTTATACTGACTGCTCCCTGTCCTTGGAATTCTTTTTGGCCTTTAATAGCTTTGCACTGACAGTGTGTCCTTGGGATCAGCTATACCCTGTGGCCTGGATTGTACTATATATAATAGCACTACTCCACATAGAATTAATAGCATACAGCTGGTGCTTTTTGTTTTTCTGAATTACTAAAATCTGCATTTTATAATTGTATATGCATTTTTCTTTTTTAAAAGGACACTGTCAAGTACTTTTAAACTGTTATTTGTAATAAAAACAATTTCTTGATTATGTTTATTTTTATTTCTATTGATTACCCTCCAATTTCCTCATTTCAAATTATATGTTAAAGAGACTTTTTATTCATTTAATAACTGCTGTTTATTACTACTATTTCTTGTCTGCAAAATAAAGCATTTTTATGGCGAGTATTTTCAAAAAATTTTAAAAATATTTTTATAAAATATTGTATAACTTAGATTTATCTGCTATTTTGAGTCTTTTTTCTTCAGCTAATGGATGAACTAAGAAATGATTTGTCTTTACATAGAAGTATATATGACTTAATGCACTTTTAATATTTTCCCCAAAAGTATGGATTTGACACAATGTTATTTCATTAACTGCAAATAAATTTTAGTCAAACTTTAAATGGCTTAAAATCTCAGTTTGCTAGCTAAACTTGCTTGTTAATGTAACTAGAGATTTTGTTGGTTGTTTCTATATTCTGGTGTTGCTTTGAGTTCATTGATATTAGATCTTAAAATTACATTTTAGACTAAGCTGCCAAAGAACAAGTAACAGGTTTATTTCTCTTGCTTTCTGGTCTCTTTTTCTCCATAGGGCCACATACATTAAGCATGTGTTTGAGATTCTTTTCCTTTTCAATTTTATTCTCCTGTCATAACAAATAGGAATTAGTGGGGGAATATTTCTTTATTGATTGAATTTATAGATTAAGTAACTTTTATGAGAAACAACTTTCAAAAATATTTGCTGACCACAGCTACTTTATTGTAGGAGGACTGACAAATGGTAGTGGTCGATATATCTCTGCAGCACCTGGAGCAGAAGCAAAATACCGAAGTGCTTCAAGCACTTCCAGTCTGTTTAGCTCCAGCAGCCAGCTCTTTCCTCCTTCTCGGCTTCGGTATAATAGATCTGATATTATGCCTTCTGGCCGCAGTAGATTATTGGAAGATTTCAGAAACAACCGCTTCCCAAACCTTCAACTTAGAGACTTGATTGGACACATAGTTGAGTTTTCTCAAGACCAGCATGGTTCTAGGTAGGTGATATTTTCTACTATTTTTATGGTTTTGCAGTTTTCTTCTGTGAGAATATTTTTATAACAAATGTAGCATTACTTGCTTTTTCCACTTACTTTGATTACATTGGCTCTGAATTACATTTGTACACTTGAGTTTCCGGATGAGTTTATCTTAAAAACAATAGCGATGTTAAATCCTTTTGCGTTGCTTATAGGTTAGTATTTAGAGTGACTTGGCTTAGAGCAAAATAATTTCACGTTCCTACAGGAAAATTTGGTGCCTTTTTACATTAGATAGAATGCTTGAGAGATACAAGTGAATTAGCATTCTCAAGATAGGAAAATAGAATACTAACCCATTAATAAATTTAAGATTTTTTTGTGTGTGTGGTTTTAAGATAAACCAGAAAACAAATTTTATTTCCCCCCTTTACACAGAGTCATGTGTCATTTAACAAAAGGAATATGTTCTAAGAAATGTGTTGTCCTGCAAACATTATAGAGTGTACACAAACCTAGATGGAATAACCTACTACATACTAAGGCTTCATGTTACGGTAGCCTATTCCTCCAAGGCTATACAAACCTATATACATTATGTTACTGTACTGAATATTAGAACATCATGGTAAATGTTTATATATCTAAACATAGAAAATTTCAGTAAAAATACAATATATAAAATAAAGGGTACACCTGTTTAGAGCCCATACCATATAGAGAACTTACCAGACTGGAAATGGGTTTTGGGTGAGTCAGTGAGTGATGAGTGAATTTGAAGGGCCTAAGACATTAGTGGATATTACTATAGACTTATAAAACTGCACCTCAGGATACACTAAACTTCTTCTAAATTTTTTCCTTTAATAATAAATTAGCCTTAGCTCACTCTAACCTTTGTTTAGATGAAGAGCTCATAACATTTTTACTTCATAAAATTTAAAATTTATTTCAATTGTTGATTCTTTGATAATACTTAAAATACAAACACATTATAGCTACACAAAAATATTTTCTTCCTTCATATCCGTATTCTTTAGGCTTTTGTCTGTTTCTAAACTTTTTGTTAAGAACTAAGTCAAAGACATATTTGTCTCGGCCTACAAAAAGTTAGGCCTAGGCAAATGAAAATCATTATCTTCTATATCCACATCTTACCCCTAGTAGAACTATAGTCCCCAATCCTTGGGTTGTAGATGGTTACTGGTCTGTGGCCTGTTGGGAACCTGGCCACACAGCATCATAGCCTAAGCTCCATCTCCTGTCCCACCCTTCCCCACCCCCCACCCCCAGGTCTATGGAAAAATTGTCTTCTATGAAACTGGTCCCTGGTTACTGACTAAAATTGCTAATCAGTAGGATTTTATCAGCTCCAACTAATCTTAGGGAACCACCATACTATATGCCTTTTATCACTGATCAAAACACTGTTATGCAGTACATGACTATAGTTGGAGATTGCTTAAAAGCAGCAAGTGAACTTCATATCACTCATAGCAGTTAGCTTAATTTATTTGTGTTGGGTGAATTTTATTTCTTTTATTATGTTCTGAAAGTAGATATTTAGTAATTTATTGTGTATTATGAAAAATAATGAACAGCCAGCAAAAATTTTGTAATTTTCTTTTTCATTTATTACACCATAACTGAACTAACCTAAGAAAGATAAACATCTTTATGTCCAGGTTTTGTGTGGGTCTAACTAGTAAAGTTTAAAGTATTACAAAGAGGGGCGGCGCCTGTGACTCAAAGAGTGGGGTGGCGGCCCCAGGAGGTGGTAGGTTCAAACCCAGCCTGGCCAAAACTGCAAAAAAAATATAAATAAATAAATAAAGTATTATATAGTAATGTTTTATAACTTTTGTCCTTCTTGTTGTCTATAGTATAAAGAATGTTAATTATTATCTTTCATATTAATTATTTGGGTATATATGTAGGAGGAGGAATGTAATACTTAAGAGTTAAGATTTTGCAGACCTTGTTTTCAACTTACCGTCATGGCATTTAAATTTTTTGCCATAGATTCATACAGCAAAAGTTAGAGAGAGCTACTCCAGCTGAGCGACAAATGGTTTTTAATGAAATTCTACAAGCAGCCTATCAATTAATGACAGATGTTTTTGGCAACTATGTTATACAGAAGTTTTTTGAGGTAAGCATATATGTTGCCTGATAAAGATTTTATATATAGATATATAAATAACTCTTAAAACTCAACAGCAAAAAGACAGATAACCCAATTAAAAAATGGACAGAGGACTTGAATAGATATTAAAGATAATACAGATAGTCAATACGCCATGGAAAAGTAGCATCGGGGTGGCGCCTGTGGCTTAAAGGAGTAGGGTACTGGCGCCATATGCCAAAGGTGGCAGGTTCAAACCCAGCCCCAGCCAAAAAAAAAAAAATGTAGCATCACAGTGAGATACCACTTACTTGTACTATAGAATGGCTGTAATCAAAAAGAAAATGTCTAGCATGGTGGCTCATACCCATAATCCCAGCTCTTTGGGAGGCTAAGGCAAGAAGATCACTTGAGGCCAGGAGTTCAAAACCAGACTGGATAACACCTCTAATAAACTAAAAAACAGGCTTTGTGGTGGGGACTGTATAGTCCTAGCTATTTGGGAGGCTGAGACAGTAGGATTGCTTGGCTTGAGCCCAGGATTTGGAGGCAACAGTGAGTTATGATTGTACCACTGCACTGTGGCCTGGATAACAGAGAAATCCTACGTCTTAAAAAAAAAAAAAAAGTAAAATTTTTGAAATATAAAATAAATGGAAAATAACTTGTGTAGGTGAGTATGTGAATAAGTTAAAATCTTTGTACATTTCTGGCAAAAATATAAATGGCACAACCAAGCCAAAAAAGGAATGAAGTTCTGATAACATTCTATATATGGATGAACCCTGAAAACATAAAGTGAAATGAGTCAACCACAAAAGGACAAACATAAGGTTCCACCAATATGAAATATCTAGAAATAGAAAATTCATGGAGACATAAAGTAGATTTATGTCTAGGGGAAGAGGAAAATAAGTTATTGTTTAATGGGTATAGCATTTCTGTTTGAGGCCCTGGGAGAGATTTGGAAATAGTGATGATAGTGGCACAATAGTGTGAGTGTAGTTAATGCTACTGAATTACATACTTTAGAAATTTAAAATGACACTTTTATGGAGTATACATATTGTATCCCAATAATTTTTTTTTTTTTTTTATAATTTGAGACAGAGTCTTATTTTGTCACTCTTAGTAGAGTGCTGTGGCATCATATCTTACAGCAACCTTAAACTCTTGGGCTGAAGAGTTTAAGCTCAACCTCCCAAGTAGCTGTAACTACAGGCACCCACCACTACACCCCGGTATTTTTAGAGACCAGGTCTCGCTCTTGCTCAGGCTCGTCTTGAACCCATGAGCTCTTTCAATCCACTCACCTCAGCCTCCCAGAGTGCTAGGATTAAAGACATGAACCACTGCTCCTGGCCCTAAAAAATTTTAAAGATATGAGCCTACCTTAAATGAAAATCTTTATGCTAATCCTAATGAATATTTGAAAATTAAGTTGTTGATAACAAGTCTTAGGTGAACCAGTTAATGAATTATTATTTGGATTTATGAATGTGTTTCATTTTGTAATTTAGCTTAATTTCAGTTTATAGTTATAGTTTCAAACATAGTTTGAAGATTGAGAGATTTTTACTGGTCTGAATATATGGCTTAGAAGTTTATGTATTAAAGATGAGGATTTTTATGAAGAATGAAGATGTTTACTTTTAAAGATGGTTGTTCCCCATGTATAATAACAAGGAAATTTTAGGTAGTATGACTTAACAAAAAAATAGTTAAATTATTATTAGAAATGTCTCCAGGTCTGTCTTAATTAGCTTTTTCCTTAATATCTGCTCCCTACGTAATTACAAAAGGTGTTATTTTTAAAATAGACTTAATGGACTACAAACACTATATCATTCAAGTTTAACAAAGTAATATGGTCACTTTTATTAATACTATATTCTTTTCTGTCAGTTTGGGAGTTTGGATCAAAAGTTAGCACTGGCAACTCGTATTCGCGGTCATGTTCTACCCTTAGCCTTGCAGATGTATGGCTGCCGTGTTATTCAGAAAGCATTAGAGTCTATTTCATCTGACCAGCAGGTAATTGTAAGTTAAGACAAATTTTTGTATTATTTCATTTTTAAATTACTACTTTATTTTATAACCTTGAAATGAGCAAAATATTTCTACTAGACTAAAATATTTTTTAAATGTGTCTCAAATAGCACATTACTAAATAAAAGTTACAAGGTAGATCATTTCTAAATGAAAATATTTCAGTAGCTACTATGTGCTAAGCAAAGTACTAAAGATGGCTGGTCTTGCTGTCTCTTGCTTATTTGATTTTCTAGAATAGCAGTTCTCAACCTGTAGGTTGAGACCCACAGGAACTATATTAAAGGGCCACGGCATTAGGAAGGTTGAGAGCTACTGTTCTAGAATATCAGAATGCATTTTACTGTTTCTGGTGTTTATTTGAATTGTATCTAATGTTTCTGTTATAAGAATAAAATTTTTATGGAATATTAAGTAACATAAAAAATTACAGAAGGAATAAAAATTTTAGCACCAATAGCATTATTGTATTCTAGCTAAATATACATATGTAAATTTTTTTGAAATTAACTCCACAGAAAAGTAACCTAAGAATAATATACTACATTCTTGGGTAGAAAGTCTAAAATTAATACAGGATTAATGCAATTTCAACCATATATTTGTGTACTTTATTTTTTGGTAACTGATTAAAATAATTTTTAAAATAATTTTAAATAGAGTAGAATATTGAGATTAGGAAGTAAGAATAAATGCTGATCTACCAAGTTTTTAAAATATACTATGAAGCAACACTAGTGGGATTCTTATGTAAGAATCAATAGATTTTAAATATGAAATTAATAATCCCAAAGTAGATGTTGTTTATACATGATTTATATATTATAATGAAAACATAGGACGGTGCCTGTGGCTCAGTGAGTATAGACCAAGGGTGGCAGGTTCAAACCCGGCCCTGCCAAACTGCGACAAAAAAATAGCCAAGTGTTGTGGCAGGTGCCTGTAGTCCCAGCTACTCGGGAGGCTGAGGCAAGAGAATCATCTAAGCCCAAGAGCTGGAAGTTGCTGTGAGCTGTGATGTCACAGCACTCTACCAAGGGCAACAAAGGGACACTCTGTCTCAAAAAAAAAAAAGAGAGAGAGAAAACATAAAATAGTGAAGAAAATAAATAATTATTTCTTAAAAGATAATGGCAGTTAATGTTGGAAATAGATCAACTTAACTCTCATACAATAAAAATAAATTCTAGAATTAAAAACAATAGTAATGGGTGGGTGGATGGATGGGTATGTATGTGTGCATGTGTACACATTAATCACAGCATTAATTATCTGTAAGAATGTACATTATTCTTCCAGAGGAAATCCTGAGTTTTAATGGCTGGGCAGGGTGCTTCATGCCTGTAATCCCAGCACTTGGGAGACCAAGGTGGGTGGACTACCTGAGCTCGCGGGTTCAAGACCAGCCTGAGCCAGAGCCAGAGCGAGACCGCATGTCTAAAATTAGCTGGGCGTTGTTGCCAGCACCTGTAGTCCCAGCTACTTCGGAGGCTGAGGCAAGAAAACCACTTGAGCCCAAGAATTTCAGGTTGCTGTGAGCTATGACTCCATGGCACTCTACCAAGGGCGACAAAGTGAGACTCTCTGTCTCAAAAAAGAAAACAAAAAGAAGACCTGGCTCGGCGCCTATAGCTCAACCGGCTAAGGCGCCAGCCAAGTACACCTAAGGTGGCGGGTTCGAATCCCCAGCCCGGACCGCCAAAACAACAATGACGGCTGCAACCAAAAAATAGCCGGGCGTTGTGGCAGGCGCCTGTGGTCCCAGCTACTTGGGAGGCAGAGGCAGGAGACTCGCTTGAGCCCAGGAGTTGGAGGTTGCTATGAGCTGTAATGGCATGGCACTCTACCCAGGGGGACAGCTTGAGGCTCTGTCTCAAAAAAAAAAAAAAAAAAAAGAAGACCTGAGTTTTAGAGTAATTGAAGATTATGTAACAATGAAGAAAGAGAAACAAGTCTGGTTACTTAAAAGCATAGGATTTCTCTGCCACAGTGTCTTAATAGGATTCCTTTGCATCTATGACAAAATGTAATCAAGAGTGTCTTTGGGGTAAAAGACACTTAAATGTGAATACTTTAGACTGAATATGTGTGCTCCATTTCTGCACAGTGCCATTTTTATTGCTCTCTTTAGGCACACAGATTATCATGTCATTGTTAACAGCTAGTACGTTCTTCAGTATAAGAGCATTAGAAAGAACAAAAACGTACAGCAATAATTTCTTTTCTTAACAGGAATAATAACAAGCTATGTGAAAATCACATAGACCAGATGTGCTTAATCCCTTATCTTTTTTCTGTGCACTTAATAGACTTGCACAGCCATTAAAAAAAAATTACTTTGGAGGGGATGCTACGTAGGGCAAAACCATAGAAATCTGAATTAGTTGTATTGGTTTACCAATTGTTAAGGATTAGTGAGTGATGAAGCAGTGAAGACAGCCTAACTATGGCATATTCAGCACCATTAGGTTAATTTAGCATGTATTGTTTACTTTATAATCCTCCAAAATATGTTTTCGTAATTTCTACCTTTAGTAGTTTCTGCGAATTATACTTAAAGGGAAAAAAACTTAAGCCTCTATATGTTAAAATATATATAAAGGGAAAATAATTTTTAGTACTTTTGTATAATTTTTTTATTGAGGTAGTTATTTAAATGGCATCTTCTCTTTTACAGAGTGAAATGGTAAAGGAGTTAGATGGTCATGTTCTCAAGTGTGTGAAAGATCAGAATGGAAATCATGTTGTACAAAAATGTATTGAATGTGTTCAGCCACAGTCACTGCAGTTCATCATTGATGCTTTCAAAGGACAAGTAAGATTGAGTTTGGGGTTCTAATTTGTTAGGACATTATTTTAGAATTTTTTATGTTAACACAGTTTTAATAAGTCACAAGATAATATAAGATAATAGGACTTGCATATAAAAACTGAAGACTAAATAGTAAATGTGCCTTAGTTTTTCCTCTTACATAGAGTTAGTAGATAGCTTCCTTTTTTTGAACATGCAAAATATAGACATACAGGTTATGATCACATTATTTCAAGAAGTAAAGGTAATCGCTCTTAGTATTATAAACTTAGCAATGTTTTCCAGATTTCCTGGGAGGGTGGAAGAGGAAAGAAGACTTAAAATTATACAGCAGTGTTTTTCAATCTTTTTTATCTCACAGCACACTTATTAAATTTCTATGGCACATTTATATTGATCAAAAAAAAGAGTAAAAGAGTAATTGAAAATTATGTCTTCATAATTTTAGTGTGCTTTGAACTTCTTTCAAATTTAATTTAATTAATCTTTTAAAACTTTCATGGCACACCAGTGTGCCAGAGCACACTGGTTAAAAATCACTGCTATATAATAACACAGGAAATACATAGTAATTAATGATTAATATGTAGTAATTAATGACATTTAATTATATGTTAAACTACCTTACCTCTTGTCACCCATTTATTCCCATTATTATGTACCCTCAATCTTCTGGTTAGGTTCCTTTTAAATTCTTTTAGCTCCTAAATTGTGAGTGCTCCTTCCTCCCCACATGCCAGTCTTAGCTACCATGGTGCTCATATTGAATGTGAATCCATCACCTTTCTATTTTAAACTAATTCTAGGTGTTGTCAAAACCTATCTGCGTTATAGAACTATTGAAAAAAATGTCAGAGAATACAAATTCTAATTTTTTTAAATTGTCTTAAGGTATTTGTGCTTTCAACTCATCCCTATGGCTGCAGAGTAATTCAGCGCATCCTAGAACATTGTACTGCAGAACAGACCTTACCTATCTTAGAAGAACTCCACCAACATACAGAGCAGTTGGTACAGGTATAAATTACCTAATAACTTGAAATATTTATATATTTTTGGTAATTGTTAATCATTTTTCAAAGAAACTTACTATTAAATATTATATAGAAATAGGGAAATAAAGCCTATTGTATTCTTCTGACTATATATCAGGTGTTTAGGCAAAAATAATTCATTATCTTTTTAAAGAGTAATCATTCTTAAGGAATGACTTAAGATGAAGTAATTTTTAAATATTTGTCCTTAGGATCAGTATGGCAATTATGTTATTCAGCATGTACTGGAACATGGTCGACCCGAAGACAAGAGTAAAATTGTTTCTGAAATCAGAGGAAAGGTCTTAGCCCTGAGTCAACACAAATTTGCCAGGTATTGCTGTATTTTCTAATTCCAGGGGTTAGTTCTTTAAATTTCTTGGCTTTTATTAGTAAGCATAGAAGTACATTTAGAATGTATCATTTAACGGTAATCTTTTTTGGTGGTGTTTTTTTAGCTCATATAGATGATTTTTACTTTTTTAAAATCTACATAATGAATTTGTTTTGCTGAAATATATGTTCTGTTTTTGAATTCTGTATTTAAAAAATCATTTGTCTCCAACACCTGTGAGGAAATGCACATTTATTTAGTACAAGTTCTTGAAAGTCTCAGAACTTACTGATGACCCAGTTTCCTTTTTTTAATTAGAGTTTTGTCCTATGATACCAATTTCTGATTTAACAGCAGTCATAAAACAAAAGAATCCTATCTTGACTCTTCTTCTGTTTACTAAATCATTGGAGTAGATACTTTGAAAAGTCAAGGAAATTTTGGTGCAAATAAATTAACAAAATTTTGTTTAACAACTTTAAATTTTAGCAATGTAGTAGAAAAGTGTGTTACTCATGCCTCCCGTGCTGAGAGAGCTTTACTGATTGATGAAGTTTGCTGTCAGAATGATGGTCCTCACAGTGCCTTATACACCATGATGAAGGACCAGTATGCCAATTACGTGGTTCAAAAGATGATTGATATGGCTGAACCGGCTCAGAGAAAAATAATCATGCACAAGGTAATATTTAGCCCTTAAATAGATAACTCAATTTATTGGTGACTTCAGGCTACACATTTAATTTCCCTTGGATTTAATTTCCTTATATGTAATAACAGAAAAAAATTAAAATCAGTAGCTAACCTTTGGCAGACATTGGTATGGTTTCCACTTTTATTAAATTGTTAAGGTAATCACATTGATTTCTCATCTGTTTACCAATGTTTAGCATTGTTCTTCCCCCATCTTACTTAACTATAGTTACCCTGGGGGCTGGTTCCAAGAACCTATCCCTCCTTAACATAAACTGGCATAGTATTTGCATATAACCTAGGCTTATTCTTCCAGACACTTTATATCATCTTTAGATTAGTTATGGTTACTAATACAATGTCAATAGTTACTATAATGTATTTATAATATAGGAAACAATGACAAGGTAAAAGTTCAGTACAAACTTAACCTTTTTTTTTAGATGGGGGCGTTACATATCACTATATCACTATATTGTTTAGTATGGTCTCAAACTGTTGGGCTGAAATAATCCTCCCACCTCAGCCTTCCAGGTAGCTGGGCCACTTTTCTGTTCTTTTTTTTTTAAGTAATTTAAACTTAATATTGGTTTTAACATGATAACATTTTTCTCAAGAGAATTCTGTGTTGATTTCTTTTTGAGTAGAACTAACTGCTAATGCTTCCCCTTTGGTGGGCTGTTTTCTTTCTGTACTATGCTAGAATCTAATGATTCTTAAAGAAATGATCTATTGCAATAGGAATTTTTTTTTTTTTTTTTTTTTTGTAGAGATAGAGTCTCACTTTATTGCCCTTGGTAGAGTGCTATGGCACCACACAGCTCACAGCAACCCCCAATTCCTGCGCTTAGGCCATTCTCTTGCCTCAGCCTCCCAAGTAGCTGGGACTACAGGCGCCTGCCACAACGCCCGGCTATTTTTTTGTTGCAGTTTGGCCAGGGCCGGGTTTAAACTGCCATCCTCAGTATATGGGGCCAGCGCCCTACCCACTGAGCCACAGGTGCTGCCTGCAATAGGAGTTCTTTTTAATATTCTAATATTCTTGCCCTTATTTAAACGTGTTCATTTAGGAAACATGAAACAAAGAATATAACCTCTTTGGACCTCTCCTCATATAGAGAGTAAAGGATCTCTCTCTCTCTCTCTCTTTTTTTTTTTTGAGACAGCCTTAAGCTGTTCACCCTGGGTAGATGCCGTGGCATCAGCTCACAGCAACCTCCAACTCCTGGGCTTAAGTGATTCTCTTGCCTCGGCTTCCCAAGTAACTGGGACCACAGGTGCCCACCACAACGCCTGGCTGTTTTTTGGTTGTAGTTGTTGTCGTTGTTTGGCAGGCCTAGGCTGGATTTGAACCCACCAGCTCTGGTGTATGTGGCTGGTGCCTTAGCCACTTGAGTTATAGGTGCCAACCTGAGAAAATGATCTCTTAAGCTCTAGTGCACTGCCGGTTGTAGTGGCTCATAACCTGCTGTAAGCCTAGCACTCTGATAGGCAGAGGCAGTATGATATCTGTTGCTCAGCACTTTGACACCAGCATGAGCAAGAGCAAGATCTGTCTCTACTAAAAATAGAAAAATTAGCTGGGCATTGTTGGGGGGGGCCTATAGTCCCAGCTACTCAGAAGACTGAGGCAGGAGGTTGAACTCAGGAGCCTGAAGTTCTTGTGAGGTAGGCTGACACACACTGGAGCATGCTAGCCCGGGTAACAGTGAGACTCTGGTCTCAAAAAAAAAAAAAAAAATCACTTCCAGCTAGAAAAGTGTTTTGGCTTTCTGATTTTTAAAATTCATCTTTAACTTAATGTACTAAATTTTCTATCTGTTGTTTAACATTTCTGCTTATTTTTAGTAGCTATATTATTTATTTCATAACCAATATCATATTTATGACATTTGGATTGTCCCTAATTCTTCATTATATTTAAATCATGCTTTGTACAAAAGGTTTTCACAATTACTCTGATAGAATAAATTCCTGGATATAGAATTGCTCGGCAAAACATTATTGTTAACATTTTATGTTTTAATAGATACTGCCAAGCTGTGCTCAAAATATCTTGTACAGTTTTAGATATCTATCTAATATAAAAAGAATGCATATTTTACCATACCCTCAGTTTTTATTACTTAGGAATACTTTGCTGGTTTGGCAGAAAAGGTAATGATAATATGATTCTTTAAGAATAGTTGGCTCAGCACCTGTGGCTCAAATGGCTAAGGTGCCAGTTATGTACACCCAAGGTTCAAATCCAGCCTTGGCCTGCCAAACAACAATGACAGCTGCAACCAAAAAATAGCCAGGCATTGTGGCGGGGACCTGTGGTCCCAGCTACTTGGGAGGCAGAGGCAGGAGACTCGCTTGAGCCCAGGAGTTGGAGGTTGTTGTGAGCTGTGATGCTACAGCACTCTACCCAGGGGGACAGCTTAAGGCTCCTGTTTCCAAAAAAAAAAGGGGGTTGGAATTTAATAGTTCACTAGTTGTTAAAACTTTCTAGCTGGGCATGGTGGCTCGTACCTACAATCTCAGTACTTTGGAAGGCCAAAGTGGGAGGATCGCTTGAGACCAAGAGTTTGAGACCAGCTTGAGCAACACAGCAAGACTTCTCTGCAAGAAATAAAGATTTGGGGGGGGGGGCAGTGCCTGTGTCTCAGTGGGTAGGGCGACGGTCCCATATACCGAGGGTGGCGGGTTCAAACCCAGCCCCAGCCAAACTGCAACAAAAAAATAGGCATTGTGGCGGGCACCTGTAGTCCCAGCTACTTGGGAGGCTGAGGCAAAAGAATCCCCTAAGCCCAGGAGTTGGAGGTTGCTGTGAGCTGTGACGCCACAGCACTCTACAGAAGATGATAAAGTGACACTCTGTCTCTTAAAAAAAAAAATCTTCTTTTTAATTAGTCAGGCACAGGGGTGGCGCCTGTGTCTCAAAGGAGTAGGGTGCTGGCCCCATATACCAAAATTGGTGGGTTCAAACCCAGCCGTGGCCAAAAAAAAAAAATAGCCAGGCATGGTGGTATATGCCTGTAGTCCCAGGTACTCAGGCTGAAGCAGGAGAATCTCCTAATCCCAGTAATTGGAGGGTACAGGAAGCTATGATCACACTTCTACAGTCCAGCCTTGGTGACCTGCTGTGTTTCAAGCCTCGGTTTGCTTATGACATAGTTTAAATGTTATGGTTTGTTTATTCTTTGAACAATTTCAAGAGTATATATTTGGAGAGATTGAGATTGATTTCCTTTTGCAAAATAGCTTTCTTTGGATTTAAATTTTTTTTTTTTTTTTGAGACAGAGCCTCAAGCTGTCCCCCTGGGTAGAGTGCCGTGGTATTACAGCTCACAGCAACCTCCAACTCCTGGGCTTAAG